GCGAAGGCGGTGTCATATTTACCGGCCACAAGTCTCTCGTCAACAACGTTGTAAAGATTGAGTGTTGACGAGGGTCGCGTACCTGATACTCAGAATCACCAAACGGTATTCGCTGAAGGTCATACAGGTTCACGCACCAACCTCGGCACATCCCGATGAGGAGGTGGAGGAAATGTATGAGTATGGTGTTGATGGGAGACTTTAACGCAAAACTAGGCACAAGAGAAAGCGGTGCGCTGAAGTTAGGGAAATTTGTAATAGGGCAATAGAACCCTAGCGGCCAGCAGCTAGCGACTTTATGGAGAAAGAGGGACTCTTTATGATGAACTCTTTCTTCTAGAAGCGGCCGCACAGGAAACGGACCTGGTCGAGCCCCGACGGTTCGACAAAAAATGAGACTGACTTCATTACGACAACCAGATGCCAACTATTGAGTGATGTCTCATGATCGCGAGGGCGAAAACTGGTAGCGATCACCGAATGGTTAGAGGCACACTGAACTTAAACGTTAAGTTGGAGAGGTCTCGTCTAATGAAGTCAACACTCCGTCCCCCTCGTGCGCTTATCCAGGGTCCCGAAAACTTTCAGCTCGAATTACAAAACCGTTTTCAGTGCCTAGAAGACTGCAATACAGAGAATGATATGAATGACAAGCTCGTGGAAATTGTCCATGCGGTCGGAGCTAAGTTCTGCAAGACCGCAGAAGAACACAAAAACTCTCCGATCACACTCTTAATCTCATGGATGTTAGACGGGAGATGAAGCTGCAGTAGTCAGCAGATTTGACAACATACATTTCTTTAATGCAATTTTACGAGATGCCATTGAAATTGTTGCACATCTAAAATTATGTATGTATGTTTAGATAATTTATCTTATATAATAATTAATATATCCTCTCAGCAGTCCGGGCCAAAATAGCCGCTTTGGCGCATCTGTCAAACCCTAAACGAGTGTTATATTGCCTACGTGGCGCGTGTCATTAAAATGGCAATATCTTAATATTTATGTATGGGAACTATATAATATGATATGTTGTTAGAATTATTGTTAAATAAGCTAATAGAATATGTGTAAATGTGTACGTTCACCCTTTTGGTATGTTATAAATTTGGTGGTAAAATTGCTAGAAGCGATTTTTTTCTAGTTTGTTGAATATAAAATGTAATCATTAAAAAAAATTAAGCAATTATTTCAATAAATATTTACTTCATTTACTAAACGATAACACACTTTACAATAATGAATAAAAAAAACACAACTCTACATATAGTTTTTTCACACCACAAGCTCTACAATAATGTGGGCCACTTAAGATGACCCGAAACAGGCACAAAAAAAGGCACATTTTGTACTTCAATATCGACGACACCTGAGGCACAATGGGCTATAAATCTTAACTTATGCTATAGTTTGGTCTTTGTTCTTAATATAAACAGTTTCAAATATTACAACTATTCAGTTATTAAGAAATGAATGAGTTGTAACAAACACTTGAAAAAAGTGACCCTAAAAAAAATGCTTTCAAACTTTTGCATTTGTAAGGAACAATTTTGTAATTTATTTACATGTGAATGTACATTCCTAAATATAATAACATTTCCTAAGTTAAAAACAAAACAAAGAAGGCATCTTTTATACAAAATTATGTTAGAAATCATCAACTAAAAGTTACACATTCACTACAAAAAGCACCAAGTATGACGTAGTACCCAGCTATGCTAGTATGGATACTTTCTGTGGTGACTTCTTTAATAATTGTAATCATGAACATAAAATTAAAATGAAATACAAATTAGTTATTTTTCTTTGCTTTTTATATTTTTAATTAACATTTGAATGTTATTATAAAAAATGTTTGACAATTCTTTTTTGCCAAAATAAAGATTTATATTTTTGTTATTTAGATTTTTTTTTAATTTTACTTAATTTGAAGTGACCCTAGCCTAGTGATAGCTTTCGTGCGAGATCCATAATAAAGTTTAAGCAATGAACGCGTTAGCTTGCAACTGGATGGGTGACCGTTTCGTACTTTGAGGCTATTCCAACTATAGCACCGCAACGAGCTAAGGATTATTGCTTAGCAATAAAAACTACTACGTACAAAAAGCAATCTCTTCCAGATAACCTTGGGCTAAGAGTGAAAACAAAGAGTGTTTCACTTGTCAATCAAGTGCAAAAAAATATAATGACATGCACATACAAAAAGTAAAACAATTTATTGACAAAAAAAATAAAACGAAACAAATAAAAATCCACACCAAAAATTATCGTAAAAATTCCATGTTTGGCATTCCCAAAGTCGTATCCATACTATACAACCTGCTCTCTAAGATGATTTCATGTGAATAACTTTACGACCCATGTCTGTCCACAACCGCCAGGTGGACGAGAGATTTAAGCAATTTGTTATTTTTAGTTTTATGAAATATTTAATCGAAACTATACAATTGTAATTATTGTTATGTTTGAAAATAAGTATGTTAACGATATTAAGACAATGTTTACCATTCACAATTGTACTTTTAATTTAAAACAATTGAAGTTAATACGATCATGGTTTCAACATGGCGGTCGAAATGGCAAGCAATGTTTGATAAAATGGAACAATTTATGTTCAAATCGTCATCTAATATATTTTATATTAATAGAAAAGTATTTATGACTTACCCATTCATGTTTATCTTTAATATTGACTTCCGAAATCACTTTCAACAATTAATACTTTGCACGTAAACACACGACACCGCGTCACAGAACGAGCAACTGAACGGAATAAATGTATTACTATTTCACAGCTTCTATGGTTGGTTTATGAAGCGTGTGTGATATTAATTGCCGTCTTTGTTTAATTCTCTGCATGTTGTACCAGTTATAGGGAGATACGTATACTTTTACTAGGGCTGTTTCGAATCTGAAGTTTATAAGTAACCAGCAACCTTCTGATGGTTGTGGACAGATGCGTACTTTTTGACAGCAACCTTTAGAAGGTTTTGGACTGACGAGAGGATATGTAGTATAATTTTTGAATGCCATAAATGGCAAAATATGTAGCTCGTTTTAAGTTTTTTAACACCTGTAATTTTTACTTATGTTTTACAAAATAAATATCTTTATCTTTATCTTATCTTTATACAGGCAACTGAACAGACAGATCTCCAAATGCATGCGGCAGGACTTACGTAACTTCAATACAGCTTGTATTGAAGAAGCGATTAAGCGAAACCAGGGCTCTAAAGTCTTTGCCAGGGATCTGTCTGCCAGAAAGAGCCAAATGTCAAAGCTAAAGACTGAATGTGGCAGCATTGTTTCCAGGACACCTAAGATTTAAGTGAGATTTAAAGGTTCTATGGGCAGCTGTACACAACATCGTTGGCGCCACACGCAAGTGTAACGATCCAAGAGCAAATCGTATCCGACACTATTCCGATGATATCCCGGACATCAGTCTGAGCGAGATTAGAATGGCTCTCCAGCGAATTAAAACAGCAAGTCCTTGGGCAAGGATGGAATTACAGCGGAGCTTCTGAAAGCGGGTGGAAAACCGGTACTTGAAGTCCTTCAGAAGCTCTTTAATTCCGTCCTCCATGAAGGCACTACTCCCAAGGCGTGGAGCAGAAATGCGGCGGTCTTGTTTTTCAAGAAAGGCGACAATGCCCTCTTGTAGAACTACAGACCGGTATCCCTTCTGAGCCAAATCTACGTGCTGTTCTCAAGAGTCATTACGAATTGTCTTGCATGCAGACTCGACGACTTCCAGCCTCCCTAATAAGCTGGTTTCCGAAAAGGCTTTATCAACATAGACCACACACACACCCTTCGCCAAATTGTACAGAAGTCCAAACAGTACAATCTGCCACTTTGCCTGGCATATGTGGACTTGAGAAAGCCCCTGTACAACCAGTGCATGTTGCCAGTGATGACCTATGGAACTGAGACGTGGTCCTTCACTGCTGGCTGTATGAGGACGCTCAAAGTCACTCAATGAGCTATGGAGAGGGCTATGCTCGGGGTTTCTCTGCGTGATAAACTTAGAAATGAGGATATCCGCAGTAGAACCAGAGTGATGGACATAGCCCAATGGGATAGTAAGCTGAAGTGGCAATGGGCCAGCCATATAGCTCGAAGAACCAACAACCACTGGGGAAATAAGGTTCTCGAGTGGCAGCCTCGTACCGGTAGGTGAAGTGTAGGACGACCCCCACTAGATGAAGTGACAACCTGGTACGACATGCAGGAGGTCGATGGATGCAGGTGGCTCAGGACTGTACTTTGTGGCATACCTTGGGGGAGGCCTATGGTTAAGCAGTAGACTTGTGAATGGCTGTGATGATGATGATGAATATATGACCAACCCTGAAGTATATTATTTGTTAAAATAAGAATTATCATTAACACAAATACAAAAAAATGCACCTTTGTCTACAATATAGCAAAACAAAATTGTTCAATAAACTGATAGTAGATCATCATCATTAAAGGCCATCACAGAAGTCCACTGGCTCAGGACTGTACTTTGTGGCATACCTTGGGGGAGGCCTATGGTTCAGCAGTAGACTTGTGAATGGCTGTGATGATGATGATGAATATATGACCAACCCTGAAGTATATTATTTGTTAAAATAAGAATTATCATAACACAAATACAAAAAAATGCACCTTTGTCTACATTATAGCAAAACAAAATTGTTCAATAAACTGATAGTAGATCATCATCATTAAAGGCCATCACAGAAGTCCACCGCTGAACTTAGGCCTCCTCCAAGAAATGCCAAAAAATAATAAGTAAATATTTTACTTTTGTATGAGTATATAACTTATTTGATCAACTGTTGATTTTTTATTATTTATTTTAGTTTTGATTTATTGACTGTCAAACCCTCTTTGCCATTTTTGAGCTTCAAAAAATTAACATGCCATAAACATCAACATACAAACAAATAACATCACATTTTTTTAACAAAGAAATTAATAAGTACCATTAAAATTTAACTGCATACCTGAGTCATATTCTGAATTATCACTAAAATTGTTTAACAAGTTATAACCATTAGTGTAGAAAGGCACAGCATTAACTTTTAGCCTTTTTCGTTCACCAGGTTCATCATTAAATGCTGTGAAATGAAAATGATCACTGCAAATACATGCTGTTTTGGCTATTGACTTCAAACCGCAACATTTCATCCATTCTTCTCTTAAATCTATACATGCTGGAAATCTGGAAGTTTTAATTTACACACAATAAAAACAAATACCAAGAAAAATATCCCTTCATGATGATATGTACTCAGGTGAGGTTTTAATTTTAATTGAATTATCAAGAGAATAAGAAAACATATTATTAATTAATATGTACACATAAATTATCTATGATTTAATATCTTGTTAACAAATCGTGTCAAGTCTATATCTTGTTACAATAGTTATCTATGGTGATTTAATACGTATTATAAAAATGTAATATTGATACTAACCTGTGAAAGCTTCGTGATGTATCACCAGTAATTGATTTCTTTTTACATAAGATACAAAATTTGGTCATTTCAAAAGTACCTATAATCTAGTTGTATATTCAAACATATTACATCCTTAATTTTTAATCAGGTCTTTAACGTGTTCCTAGATCATAGATTACTGGATTACTGTGTATATACTAGAGAGATAATGTCTTAGATAGTTTGTGTAAACATCCTTTCTTTATTTTGCACAACATTAATTGCTATTTTTTTATTTTGTAGTAACCAAAGAGTATCAGGTATAGTAACCACAGAACCACAAACTAATAAGAGTACTAAAGTACTAACATACCACAGAATAATAACTGTCCGTACGACCTTTAATAACTATAAACAAAACAATAAACTACTAGTACTTTTTTTAGGATCTTTGTTTTTATAGATTTTTCTTCACAATATGCTGACATGACATGACATTACGAAGATTTTGACGATACGATAGTTTATATTTGCAGACAGTTAATGCCGACAGTCACTTAAGTTCATAAGGCACCTAAGCCACAGAACACTATTACCTAAGCGATCAAAATAACTTAGGTCTATATCAACATCGAAGCACTTGTTTCATTGTTTCACGTGTGCAGAAACTTCATACATTTTATGCTCTGAGATATTAGTCGTAGAGTATCTTTTTGGATTCTCTGTCATGTCTTTCTCTGGTCCATTATCTAAGTAGTTTTAGTCTACCACATGTCTCAAAATTCAACGATAAACGGGCACCAGAGGATGTACCTGCTCATGACTACTCGAGAAAAAAAAAAGAAAAAAATCTAAATCAAATAAAAAATGAAATTCCTCGAAAGTCGATACCCCGATATGGTATTTTTAATTACCATGACCACATTTTTAATTTTTTTAGTATCGGCAACCTTAGTAGTACTGCTATCTACCACAAACCTTATAAATCCCGGAATACATGTAGTTTTTACACAAAAATCAATCAAAATTATTTTTCCCCTAAAATTTTGAAAGATTTTTACTTTCAGTCCACTTTCACTCATCGTGGTGTAAAAAAAGTACTGACACTACTATGGCAAGTTTTTTTAAAAATTGACGCAACTAACCAAGATTCTAAAATGGTATAATACTCTTGGAAAACTAGCCACAAAAAAGCCTGCTATTTCTAAACAAGAACCGAAATTTTGAACATAAATTTTTGTTGCTAGTTAATCACTTTCACTACAATACACTATGTGCCGAAAAAGGTTTTTGTTGCAAATTCTTAGAACTTGAATTGGAGATGTGCGTAGTCAGTAAAATGTAGAAGTTAGAGAGAGATAGATAGAGGGAGAATATACGTAAGAGAGATAGATGATGTTCATTGTTAAATAACAATAGGGCAGGTAGACAAGTTGCTTTGGTGTTCTCAACAAATCAGTAAGTACACTCTGCTCCTTTGTTTACTGTGCACCGTTACGTATTCAATTGATGTGGCTCTCGTACTAACGACTTTTGGCTTCGCTTTTTGGACTGGTGATCTGCAAACTGAACTGACCTGGCATTATTTTGGACTGCGATTGTGTATTTTGTGAATTGGACTATTGGCGTATTTTGGACTGTTTAGCGTTTATCATGCCGCTACCATACACACCGTTGGAATACGTTAATATGCATCTCATTTATGGAGAATGCCGATGCAATGCTAACGCTGCTAGCAGATTGTATCGAGAAAGGTACCCAAATGCTCAATGATACCCCGATTATCGGGTATTTATTAATGTGGGGTGTGTGGTGTGAGGGTCGTTTATCATCTGCCAGGAGAAACGCTGGAAGACCTAGATTGGGACGCGATGAAGAAGTTCTCAATGAAATAGAAAACGATTCGACTACCTCGGTACGTGCCATAGAACTAACTACGGGAATCCCAAAAAGTTCTGCGCATCGAATTCTTAAACGTTACAGGCTTCACCCATACCACTACAGGCGTGTGCAGACGTTATTACCGCGGCACTATCCACTATGGGTCGCATTTTGTCGTGTGATGCTGTTTCTTAGATAAAGTTCTATGGTCGGATGAAACAACCTGCAAGAAAAATGGCTATTTAAATCTTCACAACTTACATAGTTGGAGCAATGAAAATCCGCACCTGATGAGATAAAACAAATCCCAATATCAATTCAAGATTAACTTATGGACGGGCATATTAATTGGAAAAATAATTGAGCCCTTTGAGTTACAACTTAGATGGAAATAGTTATTTGAACTTTTTACAAAACGACTTGCCAGAATTATTAGAAGACGTGCCTTTGCGTGACTTACAAAGCATGTCGTTTCAAAATTATGGTTGCCCAGCTCACTATGCCCGTCTTGTGCGAGAATATTTACACCAAAAGTATCCAGGACGTTGGATCGGGCGATTTGGTCCTATCTTGTTGCCACCCAGTTCACCCGACCTAAACCCCCTGGACTTCTTCTACTGTGGTTGTCTCAGGGACAGGGTTTACTCAAAACCCATTTCAACATTGGATGAGCTTCGCCAATATATCACTCAGGGTGCGGATCATATCAATGGTAGAAGATATGCACGACGATTAAAAAGATATTTTTAAGGCGATGCCGTGCCTGTATTAATACCGGTGGCCAACAATTCGAACATTTACTGTAATATTAATAATGCAAAAAAATAAATGTAAATATTTGTACCCCTTGTTTTGATTCATTCAACATTTTTCAGCAAAAATCTTGTGCCACACAGAAAATTTTTCTAGAGTATTATGCCATTTTATAATCTTGGTTAGTTGCGTCAATTCTAAAAAAACTTGCTATAGTAGTGTTAGTACCTTTTTTTACACCACGATGAGTGAAAGTGGACTGAAAGTAAAAATCTTTCAAAATTTAAGGGGAAAAATAATTTTGATTGATTTTTGTGTAAAAACTACATGTATTCTGGGATTTATAAAGGTTGTGGTAGATAGCAGTACTACTGAGGTTGCCGATACAAAAAAAAATTAAAAATGTGGTCATGGTAGTTAAAAATACCATATCGGGGTATTGATTTTCGAATAATTACATTTTTTTTTGTAATTTCAAAAACGATTTAGATTTTTTTTTCATTTAGTAGTCATGAGAAGGTACACCCTCTGGTGCCCGTTTATCGTTGAATTTTGGGACACGTTGTATATATTTATAATAAATAGCTTTGCCAAAGTCCAGTCGCAGAGCAAGAAGAATTTCGTACAATTACTGCTTTGCCTACTTACAGTGGTCACAAACATTTTTGTGTTAGGTGTGGTTTATATGAAATATTTGAAGAAGAAAAAAATTAATTTACTATCATAGTAAATAAATTATTAGTATTATATAAATGATTTATTTTGATTTTAGTATAAAACAGTTATAAAATCAAGTTACAATTGCTAATTTGGCGGAAATAAAATGAAAATTTAAAAATCAGAATCCGATTTCTCTGTTCGGAGTTACTGCTATCCGAATACGTCAGTTTTGTCTACAATAAACTTAACAAATTAACAAAAACACTTAACAATTAAAACAAGACAGTAAAACTAGCAAACAACAACAAACTAAGAATAGATAACTGAGATAACTGTCTGAAAACTGAGCAATTCCAAGATGGAATATCGTTTTTTCGTTATTTAAAAAATATGAATTATTTCAAGCAAGCCAAGGATTTTTAGTCGTACCTCAAGGCCAACTAAAAACCACATGCAAATTATAACAACCTTAGAGTCTCAGGTAAAATGTTTACAATCCCTGAGGATGACAGACATTGCATCCGTGTGAGCGAGACGCATTATTAGACACATGTTTACGCGGGAGTGACAGAGACAGGTAATAACAGGTCAACGTACGAAATTCTTCCTTCTTCGCGTCCGGACTTTACTAATGAAACAAAGCTCCAAAGACTATATAAATTATTAGATAAAATATTTGTCTTACCTAACAAACAAATGTTATATAGATCAAATAATAATTGAGCATATCATAGCAAAAAGTTCTATGTAAATCTTATACAGGATAGGTGCTCACTTAATTCTTAACTATTTGAATTATAGCTGTTTTAAAATTTGTATAAAAAGTAACTTTAAAAGTAAAATATTAAGCACTTAAATATGATTCCTGTGGCTTAATTTGCTTTATTTAATGAACTATTAATATTGCTCTATATCTCGTCAAATTGTAACAATGTACAATTTTCTAATTTGTTTTTAGAACTTAATGTGCCTTTAATTTTATTCCTTAGATTACGTGTGTATGTATTTGACGTTGGTGTGCTTGAATAAAAAATAAATATTAATGTACTATAATTGTTTCTCCAATGATATTATAATATTACTCCCTATATAATGCACCCTTACGTTGACATCCATAAAATAAGAACGTCACTAAACATCGATATAGGTGATTAATGTGCGTATGGAGTGTAGAAGTAAGGAGTACAGACTGTGTATTAAAAAGTGTCCATAGAAAACCGTTAAATAAGGATGGCGCCACTATAGCTACGGGCTAAATTTTAAAGAACGTGCTGAAAAATATTAGTGGGATAGACGACTTTTTCGAGGTTATATTTACTAAATAAAATTATTTTAGATTTTAGAGCTACTGAGCAGTTTAGCAACACACTTCAAACCGTCGACAACTGCTAAGTTCATTTCACCTCAGTAGCTACTCCAGCGCTGTTGTGGAGAGTTTTTGAACTGTTATTTACTACTAACAGATGACCACTTTTTCAACTATTCTACTATGGGAGTTGGTACTCCTTACTTCTACACTTCGTAGATGTGTGCTTGTTATCACGAAGCTATACACAGCTATACTAATTTATTTAGTCCATAGATCTAGTATAAACTACATAGATTGTGCTTATGAATAAAAGAGAGCTACCGCGCCTTACTGTCCTTTTCTGTGTTAGAAAGAGAAAGCGAATGAAGCTGTCAGCGAGACTAAAAGCATCTTAGCTACCGGTACATAACGGCCCAGTACATTGTGCACGAATACGTTTTAGAAATTTCATAAGTGAGCTTAAATGATAACTAGTTAATATATGTGTATAGGCAATACATTATT